ACCGAGAGAGAGAGATAGATAGATAGAGAGAGAGATAGATAGATAGAGAGAGAGATAGATAGATAGAGAGAGAGAACGAGAGAACGGGAGAGAGAGAGAACACATGTTAGGAAGAGAAAGGATTCTTCTCTCCAGATATATGTTATGAACTGACTCTCCTGATTAATGCAGAGAAGCTTGTCCGACTATCATAACTGGACCACCATCCACTGCAAACCGCGCTCCAACTAGACTTGAACGACACACGCACCACTGATGCCGAGCCAACGGATTATTCAACTGCAGATGATGCTATACAACGAGGAAAACAACGCGCTAAAAATTCTTCAAGTCCAAATGACATGGCCGTACGCAATAATACCAATATACAAGCGCACGTACTTACGTTCCCTTTGACGTCCGTGGGTGACCACTCTATGCGCTCTGCTAACCGTGCAGCTGTGAATGCGGCACACAGGGCAGTGTGGGTGTTCGGTAAACAGTATAATTGCAAGTTCGGCTGGCTACACTCGGCCGGGCACGAAGAGACAGCGCGGGCTCGTTGCCAACGAACTACAGCTAGCCAATAGAACACGCGAGCTGAGCCTCTACACGACATACACGACAACTATCGCTCATAGGGTCTATGTCCCCCAGGGTACTGCCGGAACGTACCCTGGGTACGGTCCGGTATACCGGAACGTACCCTGGTCACTATTTTATATGGTTAGGGTTAGGGTTAGGGTTAGGGTTAGGGAGTAGGCGTAGGCGACTCCCTAGACTCGTTAAGCCCAACGCACACACCCGAGCAAAACACCGGAACGTGAAGAAAAACATGTTTCGCTCGATGTTCGTGGCTGTGTGCGGATTCCCGAAACAAGAAACATTGCTCACCTGAGCGTGTTTCGCTGAACAAGCAATGTTTGATTTGCGGAGCGTGTTTTGCCTGAGCGTATGTTTTGCTCGGGTGTGTGCGTCAATTGTTCTGCTAGACAGCGAAACGCCACAGACGGTTTCCAATCAATATCCTTAAAAATATCACATGACACACAAAATTGGATGTCCCTTGGATGGCTATTTTGAATGTCATGTGACAGCGGCGCTGTGCGCAGTGTTTCTGTATGTTTTGCTCAGCTGTGTGCGCTTGCTCGCTCAGCAGAACGCGAAACGCTGGAAAACAAAATTTCGTGTTTCGCTCGGGTGTGTGCGTTGTGCTTTAGTGGAGTAGGCGAGGTACGGTCCGTCATATTAGATAGTACCAGGGTACGTTCCGGTATACCGGACCGTATACCCAGGGTACGTTCCGGCAGTACCCCGGGGGACATACATAGACCCTCTCAGCGCAACTATCGTAGCAATGCAATAGCGGAGGCACGCTCTATTATTACACGCTTGCAGGTAGTAGCGGCGACCGCTATATACGAACACGAAAACACGAAAGGACAGCAACGCTCATTGTAGTATATTTACGGAAAGTATAGCGTTGGGCGAGGTCGAGAGAGAGAATAACGTGCTCACGCGCATGCGCGCTGCAGTCATAACGTCCAGATATTAGCGTGAACTCAGCCATGGCGCTCCTGACGACAAAGGGCATGAGTTAATGCCTTAATGGTAACAAATCACGTCTCCTATTACTGCTTAGACACATTATTGATGCAAACTTTGATTCATCGTTAACCATAAACCTCAGTATAACACGGAGTAGCGAATTAAATCGTTTTTCATTTATAGATGCGGTAAGATCCATTCCATCACGCTGTAGTTAGACACATAAATTTGGACCTGTGTTTTGTGGTTATACGATAAGAAGCGCTTGGTAACCCCCGTAAAACATCAGCATGTTATGTATACATTTCATTGGTAGCCATGTCTCAACTGTATACGGAATCAGCAAGCAGGTATTACCTGCGGAAATCAGCCAGTTGCCGCTTGGTGTTTGGGATAAAGAAACAGGTAATAAATTATTCTATAGCGTTTGCGAACTGACATCTAAGTTTTTGTCGAACGAAAACGGAACTAAATTTTAAACGTATTTCCAAGAACTAGAATTCAACAAGAAGGATGGCTGAATTTTGTACGTCCCTGTGGCATCCAGAAGAGGCATATATATCAAGAGTAGATAATAGAGACTCTATTATCTACTCTTGATATATATGCGAATCCCACACCGTGTGATGCCGGTTTATCGCGTGCCTCGAGATTTTAAAAATAAACATTCTTAAAAGGAATTATTCGAGCTGACAAAACATATGTTGCGTAGCTGGCCGCGTGGGAATTTGAAGGGCGGCGCTAGCTGTAGTAATTGCTCATAGCAATTTTGCTGATATCCACTTCTGTACATGTATCACTAAAAAGAAGACACGAGCATATCGTGACATGGCAATTTTGCAAGCTACAGTGCTTACAACTGAATAGAGAGACGTAATGCCGTGATGACGATTCTGTCGTGATGAGCATTAACGAGTGAGTCCTAGTATAGGCACGCGTATTAAATGCGCGATTAAATTAAGACGATAGATATAGTTCGCGTGTCGAATTTACTGTGCGTTATGCCCCTGCATGGTTATGCCCTGTCTGGAGCGTTCACTTGTTTCGCAGCGTACACCTGAACAGCGTTTCGTCCTCGCTGTATATATACTTCATATACATGCATTCATATACGCAGAAGACACGCGCGCACGCGCACGCACACACCCAAACACATACATACACACGCACGCACGCACACACGCGAACGCGCGCGCGCGCCCACACACACACACACACGCGCGCGCACACATCCGCGCACACATGCGCACACGAGCACGCGCACACACATGCGCAGTGCGCACACGTGCACACACAAACACACAAACACATACACACACGCACGTGCACGCACACGAACACGCACACACGTACGTGCACGCGCACACACACACACACGCGCGCGCGCGCGCGCACACACACACACACACACACACACACACACACACACACACAAAACACACGACCACGCACCACACACAAGACACAACAACCAGCACACACACACGAGCACGCACACACACACACACACACCACACGACACACACACACACACACACACACACACACACACACACACACGCACACACACACGCACACACACACGCACACAAACACACACGCCCGCACGTGAACAACATAATAGGCTCTTGATAATATGTGTGCGCAAACACCGCTGTAATTTCCTGCACGGTTGTTAGAATCAAACAAAGAAGTTGGATCAAAAGAACGGAAATCTTTTCGACCTGGTTTGTGTTAAGTATAGCCCAGCGTACCCTAGCATTGATCGCCTATGGCCGCCTTAGCTCTCCTCCACACAGCTGCGTTCTCGACCTGTAGACTGTATTTTGCCGCTATTTCATAGCTGTGCAACGTGCACTTAGGTATATATACGCGCAGAAGTCGAAGTTGACTGACAATCCGATCTATAGCTACTATATTTCCGTAGGTCGCGTACAATAATTATATACGCATGCCAGAGTAACGCTATCAGTTAAATTGATCCTCACACTCTCCCGGGAAACCTTGGCAGTTATGTTGGCCGCCGAAGCGGGGTTATGACGTCCTTCGTGGCATACATGAATTGAACAGAGAATAAAATCAACCGAAAACCCGACACGGCAAATCTGTCCAAGCGCGGCGAAATGTAATGGCGTGTAATAGAGCATTGATCGTGTGTGTGCTGCGGGGCATGCGAAGCGTTATAAAAATCCTACTAATAACAATGATTAATGACATAGATCTCTTGCGTCATTACCAACATTCACGTAATATGTCGACGCAGGGGCGTGTACAGGGGGGGGGGGTCCAGAGGGGTCCGGACCCCTCCTGCTTGCGCAGAAAACGCATCTAAAGGGGTCTAATTTCAAAAAATTTCTAGGGGAGGGCCCCCTTGCTCGCAAGTTTGGGTTACGGTTAGACCCCCCCCCCCTGGTACAAATCCTGTACACGCCCCTGCGACGCCATTGTGGAAATCATTCTGTGAAAGTGTCGAGGGGCTCCAAACACACTATTATCAGAGAGATGGTCGTTTTTCATATCGCTATATACAAACTACGTATTATGAATAATGTTGAGTTGACGACCGCATTTATAACTGGTTATAGTTAACCGTGCTACAGCATGTGTTCTACCACAAATCTATACCCATAAAGTTGACGTTCTTGTTCTTCTTACGCTATGGACTATGGTTTTTGTTTATGGTTTATGGTAGGTAATTGGTAACAAGAACATATTGTCTATATAAGTCAACCTTACGATGTTGAGCTCATAAACTTAAATTTGTTTAATTAATAACAAATTTGATCGGTTTAAGAATCTGGAGAGACTAGAGAATAATAATACCTATAGCGTGGGAAAGTTGCAGCTGTAATTTTAGTGTAAAATTTAGAGAATGGAATCGTTTAGAGTTAGGTTAAACGCTCCGGGAGTGAATAAATACGAATTGATTCTCTCCTCATTAGGCCCCATAAAAAAAGATGTTAGTTTATCATCCCCGCCCGCATCACTTTTTCCGCCCGCATCAAATTTTTTTATATTTTTTAATTCAGATTACCGGTGTTGTATTGAAGTATTCACACACCGGTTTCAAGCCAAATTCAATATCGTATACGTAGTGTTAGTCCTTCTTGACATTAACAATTATAAATATTACCTACATTTATATATAGCCTTACCTACTTCTTTATACCATGCTGTCTTTTTAAAAAGTACCTCGGCCAAATTTTTGCGCTACGTAATTATTGCTGCGATTTCAATTTTTACACAAAGACGACACATTTTCACGTTCATCGACGCCATTTACATATAAAAAAAAAAAAAAAAAACCGCCTCCCTCATTCAGCTTTCTTGATAGATGACAAGGCGATTGATTAAACTAAACATTTTTTTTAATGGGAGCCTTACCATAGGCATCAATGATCGTCAGGTATCTATAGAGCGTGATACCATAGACATATACAAATATATATGTCTATAATTTGTTTGTATAATTATATATCTCTATTATAATTATATATCTATGGTAATGCGCCCGCGAGGCAGTCGAAATACCGAAATTCTGTCACAGCAGCTGCGCATGCGCGCTCGTTCTCGTCAGCGAATATTTCTCAGTGGCGTCGCAATTAAGACGTCTCTCGCTCGTGTCGCTCGTGTCGCGTCGGTGCCGCCGACGACGCGCAATCACGTGATCATTCTGCTACGACAACGCGTCTCGAAGTCATCGAGACTTGCGCGACGGTGTCGCCGCCCATACGCGGGTGGTGAAACCCGTAACGAAAAAAACATGTCGTTGTTGGAAATGAATAGCGTGATAAAAAAAAATCATCAAACTCTGCCCACGGACAAAGCCGAAAAGGAACACATGCGCGCAAATTCGCTGACTCACGCACGCGCGTACGCACACACGCACGCCCCCCCCCTCCCGCGCCGGCACATATTGTGTAACCACATCATATCAAAAGCTAATAATACCTAAAGCTAGCTTTTGATCATATATGGATCGCAGCCAGTCTATCTATATACGGTACTGAGTTTGTTCGTGCAATATGCACGGAGAAAAACTCTCTTTCACACATTCAAAGTTCGATATCAAAGAAATTATATCTGTATGTGTACATAGCG